GTGCTGCCAGACCAAGGAAAGCACGATGAATCAGAGTCTATGCACCGGCATACACTGGAGATGCGGGAGAAGATTCTCGGACAAAACCACCCCAACACCTTAAATAGCGCCCGCAACCTGGCTACCGTGCTGTGGGAACAAGGAAAGCACGATGAATCGGAGGCGATGCATCGGCGCACACTAGAGAGGTCGGAGAAGATTCTTGGACCAGACCATCCCGACACCCTAAGTAGCACCGAGAACCTGGCTATCGTGCCGCAAGACCAAGGAAGGCACAATGAATCAGAGGCGATGAAGCGGCAGGCACAAGAATCATTGCTAAGGAAACCAGATCTGGCATGACTATGAACAAAAGGAAGCACAATCCGGCTAGTTACTATATCCTCCGGACAGTCAGACCTCACTACTGGTGGCAGGAGTAGGTTACTGACTTCTACCAGTGTGTTGAGCTCCGGGGATCAGCCAGGAAATGTGGGGATCGTGGGAAACTACCAAAAACGACAAATTAGAGATAACGAGTAGCAACTACTGAAAATATTTTCAGGTTTGGGGGATACTTGTGTACTGTACGGAGAAAGTGCTCTGGATTTTCAACTTTTTAGATATTATTTTCCCTTCGTTCTTGCCAATTTAAGCCATTTAGCTTAGCCCATTTTCAATAGAGAATTTCGTACGCCTTCCCACATGATCGGAAACACCCTGGCCGATACTACGATACCAAGGAAAATGAGGGGGGTCGGTGATGATGAACTGGCTTGAGCTGGAGGGCACCCGAAGGCTCTTAAGCCAGTTGACGATAGGGCCCTGCAAGTACTAACTATTAACTTAGCAATGTTGTCGCGCAGGAAGGTGATTTATCATGAACTTGAAGCCCTTGTTCGCCACGCACTCGCTCACGCGCAATAAGAAACCCCTAGACCCAACCCATCCCGTCAGACACATTACTATCAACAAAGCCACTCCAGGGCGTGAAAGCCAGGGAAATTCATGATGTGGAAGCCCCACATGGGCAAGCAGTCGAGGCTGGGAAGAAGGTACTTTATTTAGTTCCACGTATGCTGAGCATCTTGTTCGCCTATTAAGATACGGATGCAATATCCTCAAACAGGAAAAGCCAATCAGCAGCTTAGCGAGATATTCACTTACAACCCCCCTAAGAACATCACCTCACTGCTGTAGAGTGTGGAAGGAGGTTATGACGTTATGTGAGAACCAATTCCAGATCAAGGCCAGCAGTCATGAGGGAGGGTAGGCGATTGCTGCAAGGCCATGGGATACCCAGTGGCATCGACTGTTGTTCACACACATATCTCATCAGCCTGTCACTGAAGGAGTGGCCATTGCCGCTGCGTGGGATTAGTATTGGTGGAAATGTCCATTTGGAACAAAAGAGAACTAGAAAGCTGCAGGATCCAAGGTGTATAGGCCCAGAAGTGCTCAAATCGGCAGAGGGGGGGAGTGGGCAAAGGCTGGGCTTTCCACAGCCATTTTACAGTTAGAATATCCTACCCTCCATCAGGACTACGTTCTATCCATCCCTCTCTCACTTTGCCAATTCCCAGAGAATTAGTTCAGCAGGGCCCTGCCGCACTCCCTAATTTGCACCGATTCCCTTCCCCTATTTCCTGGCTTAATTGCAACGTGATGAACGCACAATTCCTGATTTATCTCGTCACTCCTCGAGGGCCCCGGATTAACCCATTTTTGTCCCATATCCCGACCTCCGATGCAGTCATCCCGGATTTGTAGAACCCCATCACCCACAGACACACACCTCGATCTCCTGACCTCTGCAGATATCCCTATACCGCCCCGGAGGCCGGGGATTTCAAACACTAGATAGCTACCAGAATCACGCAAATCCTCTAACTGTCCATGTTCAAAGGACCGAGTGAGTTCTGGTGATTCCCAATGGAAGGAATATTGATCCATGCCTTTCCTTTCACCGCCAGATGGTCAATGTGTGGACTCTCCAGTTCACTATCTATTATGCACGTTTCCAGCGTTCCGCACCTCCCTCCAGCCAATCAGCCGTCCTTTCCACCTTCGATCAGGCTTAACCATTTCCTCTCGCGGTTTATCTAACCCATTGACACTTTTTTTCCAATGCTGAAAACCAATCTTAAAGCCGATTCTCAGGTAAGGTTCCCGGACTACTGGCCTCTGCCACAAGTCAACCAGATTCCAGCGCTCGTTAGCTGTTTCTCCTTAGATCATAAGAAACGCCGTGCAACCAGACCCAAGAGGGGAAACGAAAGGTATGATAAGAAGGCTAAAAACCGTACCTTTCTCCCGCAGGGGCAGACTGGTAGTGATGTCAGTGATTCACGAATGAATTAAAGTGAACGGAAAATATAACAATGAAACCCCTGACATCCAGTGGTGGTCCTCTGCCAGTATTAGTGTCCGAGAACAAAAACCGAGGAGCTGGGCTATCGGGCACACTGGCCACGCCCCGAAACCGCGATTGGCCCTCCTCATTTACTCCCTACAACATACATATTGAGCCAGCAAGTTCCTTATGTTCTTGATTTATTAGCACACTGGTAACGGCCTCCGACTTGTTGAGGTTTTTTCGCGCTGACTTGCGCCATCAGGGCGATCAACAATGTCACCTGGTTCCTATGCCTTCCCACAACTCCGCAAACCCAATTTAGCTACCCACTGACATTCCCACAGCCGACTTGCGATCTCTACTCCATGGGTTAATCCTACACTAGTCGCAATGGTCACCAATATCCACGATAGAACTCGCTCAGTACCTTTTTGTAGCTCCACCGCCCCCCTCATCCGCAACATGACACCACAACGAAGACATGATCCAGGACTTCTACTTAGCCTTCTAATGCAAAACACGTTTCCACCCACCTCAGCTTCCCACAATGGCAGCGGGTTCGCACCCAATATCAAAACCGGTGTGGGTCCATTTTTGGCCATCCACCAGCCACATCATTCTAACAGCCTTCTCCACGGCTTTCCCTTTTGGTTTTTACGAGCGTCCTGGGATTTAACTAGTTACGTGTCGGGCGGGCAACGGTACGATAGGAATAGACACTCGGCTATCGGGGATATAGAAGTATCAAGCTAGTCGAACAGCTGCAATATAGAAATAGTGGGTTGTAGGGACGCACGGCAACGGCAACATTTAGAAACGCTCGAGAATGATAATGAGCCCTGAGGAAACTTGCAAAAGTGTCTCTTCCCATGCCACTCTCTAGAGGATAAATTAATCCCTATCCCTCAACCGTGTAGAGAATGGGATCCTACTTGGCTCCGTGATGTGCAAATTTTTCTATCCCCGTTACTCTAAACCCTGACCTTCAGATATCATACCGGTTGTCAGTTTTTTATATCCTCGTAGCTGATAACCACGTATATCAGAGCACACGCGAGCCATGTCGGATGAGGAACATCACCAGCCAAGTCCAATATCATGCCCAACAGCGGGGTATCAAGATTATCGAAACCGGGGGAAACTGGGGCATCATACCACCGTACTGTACGAACCACTATGGGAGACTACCACGGTAAGGCGTTGAGGGAGCGGCCCTCCTTAGTGATTCCAACGGATCCGAGGGCTCATATACAACTCAGAGGCCGACCAGCCGCGCCACGAAAGTTGCCAAACGCCCCCGGTGTATCTGACGTTCCGCCATACCATTGTGGTCATCCCTCTCACCCCGAGCTATCATATCCAGATCCCTCGCATGCGTGATGCCACAGGCCATTTGATAAAGGTGCGTAAACCAAATCTAATATTCCCAAGCCTAGCACCAACCTCTACGACCCCCCAACACGAAAAAATAATTTGGCTAGTTCCAATTCACCACGAAAATAATTCTACCCGAGGAAACCATATCATACCTTTTCGAGAATTAGCCATTCCCAGTTTGAATCGGGCTAGCCGCATAGGAAGGTTCTAGTTCCCCATAATTCCACCCCGAGTCGCAAAGTATCATAAATTTACTCGTACGATACCAGCCCTCCCATCATATCTCCGAACAGAAGACAAAATAATCAAGAATAAACTTACAGGGATGTGGAGAAAACAAAATCTTTTCAGGGTGAAATCCTTGTCCTTCCATCATACTGTCTATTATGCTTGTTGATTCTACCATTTTTTTTATTTTTTACTTGTATCTTTAAATCCACCTATCAGTTACCTCCCCAAACCATCGTTGGCCTTGTAGAGGCCACGATAACGCGAGCGGATGCGTTGCAAATCCCTTGGAATTTAGCCCTACCGCCGATTTTGTATGAGCTTCACTCGGAAAACTGCCACTCCGTGCGGGAGATTTTACACGTCCACCGAGACCCCGGAAGCGGGACTCTTGTCCGGATCAGCTAGTCCCACTACTAGTGAGAAACTCGAGAAGGGATGACATATAGTAAGCGCTATCTGGCATATGCACTGTAGATGGGACCCCCCCCCCCCCCGATTCGTCCAAGTTAAATTTCGGTCAAGTGAGTCTCTGGGATGTCTCCCACAAGGACAACTGTGAAATACTCTTCGACTAGGGACACTGCATTATTCCAATGACCCAAGACGCGATACCAAGCAGTTTCCAGCTGATAAATGTCATCGAAAGTGAAAGGACAGAGGGACTGGTGAATATCAGTGACCGCGATTACCAACCTTCCCCCCCTCCTACCCTCCCCTCCCCAGTCCCACAGTAGCCAATCCGCACATTGTACCAAACGCAACTCTTATCATGTCTATATCATACAGGATAGTCATTTCCACGTTGTGTTGCGCCAGGTTCGCGAGGAGTGGGTGGCAATCCAGGGCTATTTTTTTATTTTTTATTTTCATTTTTTCATTTTCAGAAAAGTCCATACAGAAATTCCCAAGCTATTCGCTCGTGGCTCCCCCGTAGGTCTTTTTGCGCTTGGGACGGCTGGTTTTCCGGGGGATTGCACTGGGCGGGGCCAATGGAATGTGAACTCCGGGAACTAGGGACGCGGTAGGGTACTGTACTAGTACACGCGGTCAGGAAAACATTGGGTAAGTCCCGCATATTTCAAGCATCCAGTACGCAGCCCTCGCACACGGGGACAAAAAAAAAATCCGCACGGCAAATTATCTATTCTCATCTAAATGCCCACACAGTACTACCACGCCGAGCACTTGTAGAGGGGTTGGGTAGGTCTGGCGGTGAGTGAAGGTTGTTGCCCAGCATAATGATAGAGTAATTAGACTTGGTTTCTGGATTAAACGTAATTAATGGGACTAATTTAATGTCGAGGGGAGTCTGCGGGCGACACCCCGGATACCGTAAGGTGGTGCGCTAAGACATTGTTGGAAAGGTTATTCGAAGGGTAGTTATGATACGATACCGAAATCCTTTACCAGAATATCATAACTAGTCACTCGATACATGGATAGATATAATATATCGCGCCATGGTTATCATACTGTGACAATCCACAGGGCAAAAAAACTTGTTTGGAAGCACCGGTGTACCGTTTCTCAAACGCCCGGCAAACATCGAGCAAAAAATACCCCCCCACGTAAACACCAGCCACCCCAGTCTTTCTTCTAACAACTCCCATCAGTAGACAGAAGACCCCCCCCCCCGATCAAGCTGAACAAACCTAACCTCAGCCCTTGACACCTCACCCCCTCTAGCACCCCAGAAACACCCGCCGACGACCTCCATATCCAATCATACTCGGCCCCCTCCTCGGAGGGGGACCCCCCGCACCAGCCTTCAACAGCACCTCCTCAATCTCCTTATATCCCTTCCTACCCGCAATCCCCAAAGCCGTATCACCACCACCTCCACAAACAGCATGAATATCTGCCCTTCCAGACTCCACGAGCATCCTAACAGCATTCACCCGGCCCATCATCACGCCAGCATGCAAAGCAGTGACCCCATCCGTGCCCGAAAAATCAACATCAACCCTAGAATCCTGCAACAAAGCCCCAACCACCCCATCGCCGGCGCACTCCATGGCAAGCTTAAGCGAAGAATCCCCAGTCCTGACGGCCGCCGAAATGGCCACGTCCACCTCACGGTGACGCAAAAATTCGCGGACAATCCCCTCAGCGTCGCAGCGAATAGCCATCACGAAGGCCGTCTCCCGTGCCTTCCCACCCGTAAGCGTGACAAGCGTCCTCGCGTCCGCGAGAAGCAACCGCGCAATCTGCCTGTGCGACCGCTCAACAGCGTGCATCAGCGGGGTCATCCCCCGGATCCCGTCCGGGTAGTTCAGGTCCAGCTCCGGCCGCTCCAGTAGCATTCGGACAACCTCCACGCGGCCATTCGTGGCGGCTGCGGAGAGCGGGGTTTGGCCGCAGTCGCTGCCGGCGTTCACGGGGATTCCGGCTTCTATGAGGGTGCTTATGATTCGGTCGTCGAGTGTGCGGACCGCGTCTACTAGGAATTTACCGCTGTTGGCAGGGGTTGGCGTGCTGATCAGGTTGAGGATTCCACGGTGGAGGAGGGCAGCGACCGTCGGGGTGTCACCGCGCTCCGCGGCTGAGAGGAGGGCTTGGGTGCCGTAGTGCTTGGAGCGGGCGCGGAAGAGTGCGTCTATTGGCGCGGTGGCCAGGAGGTTAGAGAGGTAGCGGTTGCAGAGCAGGAGGCGGGCTGCGCACGATGGGGAGAGGTAGGTTGTTATTTCCAGAATGAGCTCGTTCGATAGAGAGAGGAATGACATCGCGAGGAATGGTGGTAATATTATGCGATGATGTTTAATGGTGAGCGAGTTGGTTGGTGATCTGACACTTGGTGCGGTGCGGGAATGTGGTCGTACAAGAGAAGCCAGGGGTGAGGTGAGAACCCCAGATGTGAAACGAGTTTAAAGTTTCCAAATGCCCTCGCCAATCTTTCTTGATCTGGTGTCACATAAATTGAACCCGAGAAGGCTTGGAAACGGTTATTAGCCGTGCCTACGATACTCTTCCCACATATGCTGTACTTGTACCCTCTTTTCCTCTCCGGCTCTTGTAGGGGCAGGGAGAAACCACTGTTTCAAATCTCAAATATTAGTACCAGCCGCTAGCACACCATACAGTACTCGTACAGTATACCTGTCTCGACCTTTCTGGAGGCTGCAAACTACAGATCATTATGCATCACTCGCTAAGCAGCGAGCACTGCTGGTCGCCAAGCGCCACCAGAGCACCCATTCCCTCATCTCTTATTTATACAAATTCACCTCATAAAGCACAGACCACCAATGCAAGCTATGTTCGCTCCGGTATAATAATACAGAAGGAAAAAAAACAAAACAAAACAAAACAAGAAACACCCGAAATAAATCAAAACTCATCTTCGCCTCCCCTCCGCTCACAGAGCACGCAGCCGCCCTGGACCCTCTGTCTGATAAGGGCGGCATGTGTGACCTTAGTCCCTACACTACGTCCCATTACGCCTAATATTTCTTCCTCCACACCATGGCCACATACCTCGGGCACATCCGTCTCGGTGCCATGAGCAATTACAAGGCAGCGTACGTGAAAAACGTGTCGGCAGGCGAAAGCTATGAGAGTATCTTTCTCTGCGCCATTGTTAGTCATGTTCCATGAACGGAGAAAGGACGAATGAAAGGGTGACTACCCGTAGGCTCGAAGTCGACCTTGCATACGCCACATGCATATCTCCCGCCAACGCCAAGACCGATTTCCTCCCGCTCGAGTTCGGCATCTCGAACTATTCCGCCGCCTTCAGTGGCAGAGCCTTCCGCCTCGGTACTAAGATAAAGCTCTCGCTCGATCGCAACTTCGAATTTGACGCCCCGTCGTTGCCCTTTGCGGAGCTCTTCCATACCCCTCGCCACTTCGCTTCTGAGAACTTTCGCAACTCCGTCGCAGATACTCCATTGTACGCCGTACTCTTTCAGGATCTTTCCTAAAGCAGCCTTGAGCCCCTCGATCTCCAGGCCTGTCGGAATCCTCCTGACTAGTGTGATCGGATCAATGGTGGTTCCAACGTTCTCAAGCAGCCCGCGAATGAACTTTGGCTTATCCATAGAGTAATCTAGCAGGTCATTCCAAAGATCCGGATCATCCTGAGTCTTTGCGAATGCGATAGCCTGGGAGACATCGGCCAACTTGTCGATAATAAGGAAGAGCGCACGCTTAGTTTGCCCGGTCTTGGAGAGCAAATGGACCAACTCGGGTACATAGTTTCGTCTCTCGCACACTGCAGATGCCTTCTCTAGGGAGTATGAGTGACTATCCTTAAGGAAGTCCATTAGTAACGGCCGGTCATATTCTGCAAACAGTTCAACCATCAAATCTCCAAATTCTGCCAATATTCCCCCTCCTCCAATTCCAATCCCCTCTCCACCCAACCCAGAACCATCACCGGCGCTACCTATCCACAACCGACGGAGATAAAAAAACAAGAATAGCTTTCCGCCGGCTACTTTGTCGTCGTCCAGCTGCCGCACCACCATCTTCGGACCAACAATGCCATGCCCAGCCTCCTGTACCAATAAGCCAATCGCCTCCTCCGTTCCTCTTTCCAATTCAGCGATACTCGCGTTCTGCATCTCCTCATCAGACACCCGCAGCTTTATGAAGGATGGAATGTCGTCCTTGACGGCATCGACAAGACGGAACTCCCTAATCAGTTTGAATGCTTCGTCGGCATTCTTGAGTGTGACATAGAATTTCAGCGCATTCCTAGGCTCGGCGACGACCATAAATAATTTCGCAAGACACTCTTGCAGTATTATCCAGTCCTCATCTCCTTCATGAACGTCATCTTCACGGTTGTCCAGTTTCCTCTCAACGGCATCGATGATAGTTCGGGGATCATACAACGTCCTTGAGCCCTCTGGTCTCCAGTCGCGCATGAGGAGCTTCTGGAACCGTGGTCGGTCATGCGTGAGATATTGTGCCAAAACAATCTCGTATATCACGCTCGGTAGCGGTGGCGATAGTGGTGTGCTGGGTATATAAGGCGTGATCTCCTCTATCTTTCCAGCCGCTTCGAAAACCCACACCCAATGCTCCCATCTCCCTGACACCCCCAAAACTTTCCCACACACAGCCCCAGCCGTAGTCCAGTCGCCAACATCAATCAAGCTCCGCAGCCACAACTCGCCAATTCTTCGTTTTTCTTTTTCTGTGGCAGAGGACATTTGAACAATCTTTTGTCTGCCGCCACTGATGGTCGAATCAGAGTCATAGGCTGGGTCTGCGGCATCAGCATCGACTACGACCCGCTCGACCTCATCGTATTCGCTTAGAGAGGCGGTATCGGACGGAATAATGTCGGGCTGCGCATCGACTAATTCCCACGCATCCTTATATTTTTCCTTCTCCAACAGCCATCCTAGGTGATCTTTTGGGCTCCTCTCAGTAGCAAACACCACATCATAGGGACTGGTGATATAGATTTTCTTGCCCGGGTATTCCTCCCACCCAACATCTTCCTTTTTCTCCTTCATTCCCCGGAGGCCGGACAAACTTCCCGAGGCCTTACTCGCACTTGCATTGCTGAAACTTTCCCGCCGTGACACGCTACCCAGGCTTCGCACACTCGCTGCGCTAGAAAATATTTGTGTAGCATTCATTCCGGCAGCCCACAAATAATTGCTTGCGGTACCTATACCGAGAATGTCACCTTCTCCAGAAGCCGAAGGTGGGCGAGTGATCATAGGTGGGTTAGCTGGCAGAACACCAAGATGGTAATCGCCAACAGCCAGGCCCTCGAATCTACTCATTAGCAACTCGTCCGCGCTTACTTCTTCCGACGTGTTAAGATCAATAAATCTCAACTCGGGAGTAAGTGCATTGGTTCGCCCACGGCGAGTGCGGGATTTGGGGCCCGGGGAAGCCTCAGCGCCAGCGCTAGAAGAAGACGCCTGCCCAGGCTCAGGAGACGATAGTGTTTCTTCCCTGAGGTAAGCCAGGAGCAGAACAAGAGACGGGCTATACATGGTTAAGCCAGAAATAGTGCAATCGGTTTGCAAACTAAAGGATCACTGTCAACAGTATTTCCCGATGTCACTTTTTTCGGGGTACCCACATATGCACAATCTCTGCCCACCCAGCCCGCTTCTCCTCTTCTCCCGTTCCATCTCCCGCAAAAACATCTATAACCCAAATTGTGCCACCCCATCCGACCAAGAGCTTCTCCCGTTGACCCCAGTCAGTCCCAATCGAGGGCTTCCCTTTCACCGCTGTAGGACTGACGTCGTCTGCGGTACTCAGAGTTCGGCCATCGACATCATCCTCTGATAAGTTACGCCTATCAATCCACTCGAGTCTCGGTTTGTGAACGGCTGCCAACTCCTCAGGGATACACTCCGGCCTCTCGATTGCCGAGATTCGCTTCCAAGCGATTTCACCCACTGGCCGCCCACCAACTCCTAAACCCGGAATCCAACTCGCCAATCCAGGATTGACCCCGATACTCGGGCCTCCTTCACCTCCTTCGGTAACCTCCTCCTTCTTGACCTCCGGCGGCACAATATGAGATCTCATAATCTTAATCCCTTGCTCGTTTGTCCAGGCCACAAATCTCGGCGACTCTTTACTCCACGAGATGGCGGATATAGCACCTTCTCCAGAATGTAAGACAGTATCCTTGCCACTGCCACCTCCCAGCCCCATCCATGCCATTCCACCGCCCCCGCCCGCCGGTGGTGCCACAGAGAGAATCAGGTTTCCTGCCAATCCACCAGATATAAAGGTCCGATCGGTACGAAAGTTTGGCGACAGCGCTACCGATTGAATCGGGCGCTTAAAGTTTTTGAAGGTAATTTCCGACTTGGAATATGGGGCAGTTGACGAATTGTTGCTAGGATTGGCGGGAAGGAGAGGCACAATGCAGACGAGGCCATCGATAGCAGAAGTCGCAACATGGATATTGCGGTCTTGGTGAGCAGCAAAACGACGGATTTGAGTCGGGAGTGGAGGGGGGGGAGGCGGTGATATCGAGATGGAAGTTATCGAGGCTGAATGCGCATGGTAGACCCGTATGCCGTTGAGTGATGGTAGTGATAATATATGCTAGACAACAGGTTCAAACGCCAATTAGTAACAGAGCCTCTGGAGCTCAATAGTGATAAATATCCCAAGAAATGAGGCTCACAATGTTCCCGTTATGGGTTCCTATAATCTAAGCGTACGGATTAGCACTCGACCACGGAACACGGCCATAAGAACACAAACCATTCTCTCGCCAAAGACCAAGCTTGTGGATACAGCATCACCATTCCGATATACCCCACCCAGCGACCGGGTTAGGCGAGTGTACTTCAGTCGGGGCTCCTCATCTTCCTCCTCCTCTTCCTGCTCCTCCTCCTCCTCCTCTGTCGCTACCACCTGCCCCCGGCCCTGCCGCTCAGTTTCTTGTTGCTCTTCCTCGCGTTGAGATTGACTAGGAGACCGCGGGGGTGGCATTGTGTATAGGGCTTTACTTAGCACGAAAGGACGATGGGAGAGGGGAGGGGAGGGAAGAGGATAAAACAGTGCGAATCCGAAGCTCCCTAGTTGGAGCTCGGAAGACGTGTACCAACACTGCACGACTAGCTGTTCGTCACGTCACAAGGCTTGGCTGCATTGCCAAGACCATAATCAATACCAGAGTAATGTAATCACTAAATATCACTCACCAATTACCTATTAACCCTCGCTTTTAAAGAAACACGCCGGACTAATGATAGGACAGTTGCCGCTGACGATCCCTCTGGGAGTAGTGACTCCGGGGAGACTAGTTTCCTCACCATCAGGAACCCCAGAAAGTCCCAGCCCATACCAATTCCTCGGATGGCCCCAATTCACACCCAGTCTTCTCTCTCCCCTTGAGAGAGAAGAAAAGGGAAATCTCAATTCGATAGAAAACCCTTCAAACCTTCAACCGCCAACCGACATAATTCGGTTTCGGGAACTCCACCCCCCTCCGCTCCGGCTCCTGCTGTCCGGTAATAGAGAAGCACCTCTTGCAGGGCGGGCGGAACGGAAGAATAAAAAGGGGGTGAGAACAAAAGCGATACATAACCACAGACCCTGAGCACGAGGGCAATATGATAGAGGCTACCAAAGGAGCAAAATTCGATCAGGAAAATCGTCGTGACTCGTGACCCCTATCAAGCCACCCAGCAGCAGATACTACCGAAATAGTGCAGTACTGCTACCGGTAGAGCACATGGACCAAAGTTAAGTCGGTCAACTCCCGCTCTTCTTCATCCAACCTGGCCAGTGGCCTCACCCAAAGCTATGATACATTAGCGTGCCCCCAAGAGCCAGCTCTAAAAAGGCAAGCCCATATATCTGCACTGTTGGGCAGTGGAATCGGAATAACCCTGAGTTACGGCTCTATCGTGTGTTGCACAATCAGGGCCCTTCAGTTGTGTAGTCTTGCGTGTACCTTTGATGTCAGAGCAGGAATTCCTTACCACGGTATGGACTACATATACATCTCTACATTAGACTCTATCGTCACTTACTTTTGTGGACCAGCAGTCGCGGTTTGCCTTCCTTGAACAGTCCGATCACCCCTTTTTTATCTTATCGCTTTCCACTTTCTTTCACACAACCAGCCAACACCATTCTTATCAATTTGTTTCGGCGTCACGACCTAAACATAACACATACTCTTTATAGCCCTGTTTGCCACTGCTGTGGCGAGCGGCCAGCGTGTGTATTTATCGATCGTTCCCTCGACTCCGCCTCTCCTATCCGGTGCACGAACATGAGTGAATCATGGAGAAGGTGTGCGCATGCCAGTCCCACACTTACCGAGTTTTCTAATATAACGAATTGACCAGTGTACAAAGTGATGACCAAAACAATGGAACTGCAAGGCGATGCGCAGAAGAATGGCCAATTCATGTGCCGCGAGATAGGCGCTAAGCATTGTGAAAGAGCCCATTACCAAATCCCCATGTCCGCACCACTGCAGGGCCCGGAGGCGGCGCCCGGAGCCCACCAAGGTATCATACTTTGGCACGTGACGCATACTTCCCCCTCCCGTTGCTCTCAGGTCTATTCGCCCAAGATTTCTAGCGTCTTGTTGGAAACAGGGTGAGCCCCACGAAGGAGTAGCAAGATTCCCCTTATCACAGCCTGAGATGTCCTCGTCCGCGAGAGGTTCCCGGTCTTTACGCCCATGATGCCCTGTACCCTATTGGCCGTCTTGGGGCGAAAGCCCGCATGCTCCAACGACCTACACGCCAATTCGTGAAGCGCCCGGAAATAGAGATGCCAGTATCCTCAATTTTAGGCGCAAAACGCTGGTTCTTGGCATTTTAATTGCCGGATACTTTAAGAATTGACGAGCACAGTGGCGAGCGTACGGTAAGCAATGTGGGTAAGACGCTGAGACGGAGCGAGGCGGGAAGAACCCTGCGCAACGGCTAAGATCTTTCCCTCCCAAATAGGAGATAGGGAGGCGCGTGGTGGCACCCGAGGTACAAGTACGAGTACTCGAGTACTCGTACTTGTATGATACGATAGAAGATGGAGGTGGCACTGCACCGTACTCGAGTACGGAAGATGGGATCAGGGAAAGGACAACAGGAATGAATTTTCACACAAATCCATCATAGGTCATGTGAAGTGGGAGACTATGAGTTGTTGGTGGCTCTGCGATAGGGTTACCTAGGTCGAAAGGGGAAATCATTCGACACCCCAAGATTACCCCGGACGGGGGTGAAATCAACAATTTTCTCTGGAGCTACTTGTATGGTGGCCCACCTGTGGCGGTCATAATATCTCACTCGAGAGGATTGTCACATCACCCCCCGCTCGGCCGGATCGAGAAAATACCGGCAGTCTTTCACGCCTTATCAACGATACAGCCAGCCCGGACGGAGTCCGCAGGACCCAAAAGCCCAAACCCAAGCAAAACCCCATTCAGCTCACAGGAAAGGAAAGAAGAAGAAAAAGCAAATAAAGTTCAACCTTCTCCAAACAACCAACCACTCACCGATCTCCACCCTCGCAGCTACCATAGCACAGCGGCACTTGTACTACCGCAACTCCAAAAAGCTTGTTATCCCTGCCCACCATTCCGCCTCCGCCTCCACTGACTAGAGTTATTCATACATGATACCCCGGCCCTCTCTTTTTCTCGCCCTTCTACCACAGACGATGACCGGCGCGGTATTTGCTTCTGTCAGTCAGTCCGTCAGTCAAAAAGTCCTCCTATCCCCCCCGATCAGGGAACGATCTACTCGGTTATACCTCCCTTCCGCCACTACGCTCCTGACCATCCTATCAAATCAACGGGTCTACGGCGCTCGTACAAAGCCCGGCACTTCCCATCCACGAAATCAAATAAGATCAATGAAAAGAAAAAAAAAAGAAAAAGCAATCCACCACCAATTTCATTAAGTACAGTATGTGTTATTTGCTTTCTTCTTTAGTAATACCAACTGGCAGCCATCATCAAATGGGCAGTATCACACGCCCACACCCCCAGCGCCGCCGCTGTATCTTGCCTATTGGATTTGGATTGTACCGGTATTGTAACTTATCTCATGCCACCTCCGCTTTTCTCTCAAAAACCCTTTTGTTCCCTCCTCTCTCCTTCTTCCTCCTCCCTCTACCTCGCCCTGAAATCCTGAGATAAGCTTTTTTCTCCCCTGCTTTTCTTGGTTTTTTGTTTTTTTTCCCTTCGCTCCCCCCTTTCGCGACCTTTGGTTCTGACCAAATGAGAAGAAGAGCTTGAAGTGGAAGAAGACCAAGAAGGAAAAAGGGCTGAATCATTTCTCGGCGCGTGCGATACAATTACTGAAGAATGGATCGGGTACGGGCATGGCTGTTATCGGTCTTGGGAATACTATCGGTATTCATGTGCGGGGGAGGATTAGTGAACGGCCATTTTACTGTTACATATCCTCAAGAGAGGGGATTTTCTTATGATACGCAATTTCATTTTCCGTGTAAATTCTTCCTTTCCTCTTGGTCTGTTGATGTTCGGCCATTAGCTGACCCATCCCGCAGGCGGAGGTAATGGACATACCCCCCTCGCTCCCTCTCACCGCGCAGAGTCTCCCCGCAAATAAGTAAAAGCCCGATCTCATAATAAATACAAACCAAAACAGGCATCGCCCCAACAACGAACCGCTCCCAATGGCCCACTACTGGTGGCGCCCTGTCCTTGATCCCTATCCACGCGTTCGCCTTAACAACGATTAACATCGCACTCGGCTCCAACATCGACGAAAAGATACTCTCGAACCCATACAACGTCCCCATGGTACCACTGTTCAACCAGACGGGCGCCAACAGCACCTTCTGCCTTCCGAAGATCAAGATCCCGAAGAAGATCGTGGGGGACGTGAGTGATGGTGTCAACGCTACTATTCAGGTTATACAGTTGACCGGGACGGGGGCTGCCTTGTACTCTGTATGTCGCTTCCTTCCTTCTTCACCTTGCTCGCCTATTGGATGGGCAGATGGATCAACGGGACTAACCACGAGGCGGGGCGACCGGGCGAGGAACAAAGTGCATCGACATCACTTTCTCGGACAAGGAAGCGGATCGCTTCGGTGCTCCCGAGGTCTGGGAGAAGTACTGCTTTAACGGGACAGGGATGGGGGGGTATAGACTTGGTGATAAGGATCCTTCAAGGTCGAACGCTACCGTTGTCCTAAGCGCCGCTTCCTCCCCCGCGAGGTTTGCGGCTTCAACACCGTCGTCATCCCTAGCTCTAACACTCTTAGCCGTCATGTGGTCCTACCTCCTCGGTCTTTGAAGCACGATTCGAACGAAAATGTCCTTTGTCTGGGTCACGAGTTGTACAGTACTTATTCTAATCTCACTCTTGTCTCCTGTAAGAATTAGTGAAGCCAATCTCAAACATTTCGAACCCACAGCGCACAGCATAACTGTCACCCACCGTATCCTGTGATGGTGGCATAGGTAAATCCAGATACCCCGCTATCTTGTACGAAACCCTTTGTCTTTTCAAATTCCTTTATATACAAAATCCCAAGATGCCTTCCCAGATCACCCACCTCTTCCTACACTTTACCCGTCGAACACTGTATGAGTACTTGAAGCACGGGCAGCCGGGCGCTATCGGAGTAGGTACCGCTATTATACCAAATCATGTGCCTCCCCCCCCTAGAAAAAAAAAAGATCGTGGTCAACCCGTCCGTCCACTCACAAGCACAGCACAGCAACTCGACATCATAACACGATAACTTATTGCAGCACCGTACCGCACTATGCGCTTCCCCAATCCAGCACCGCCTAATAAGCTTAGTTTCCACCCGATGGATGGACCCACCGGTCCGTCATTGTCGATCCGCCAAGTTTTTCGCTTCCGTACCCGCTGCAGGTTGATGGGTGGGGTAGTCTACTCATAATCTAATCAATGGGTGAACGAATGAATAAATGGTGGGCTTGTGGGCAGAAGGGTGGTCGAGGTAGTAGTCTAAGGGTAAATTAGTGGTTGGACTGGATGCCGGATGCCCGGTCGGTAAACGCAGCAGTCTACTGTAGTTCTAAGTTAAGCATCGCATGCGTGTTCCATCCATCTACGGTACTCCATCCTATCCTATTACCGGTACGGTACGGTAAAGTACGGTACTATTATACATTATTTGGAAGCAGGAAGGGATCTGGCATTTATTGTGTGGTTGGAGCCAAGTTTTTTTGGGATTATTTTATACCCCAATTATTGGTAACCCGCCGTACCGTACTGCATGTACAAGTTGTCCATGCAAGGGTTTAGATACAGTAGATTAGTGATGTTTTTCTGGGTCTTCTACTCGAGTACAGTACCGTACCGTACTGCGCTGCACCGTACCGTACCATTGCAATGGCGATGCTGCCGGTCAATCCTACGGTATATGGTATTTTTATTTTTATTTTTATTTACATTTTTTTTATCCCCCGCTGGGCGCGTTCCCAATAAATCGACAATATTGTCATATAACCGTGGTATAATACAAGTACCGGCAGCACAATGCTTTTTTTTTTCGGGGGGAATGGCTTATTTCTCCACACTCAGACAGGCTACAGTACCGTACCGTGATTCGAGAGCGAGAATGAATACTTGTACCATGGGTGTTATCATAGGTATTATACGGTACTGTAGTACCGGTAGGCACCCATCCATCCATCCATCCATCCATCCATCCATCCACCCCCTCCGCTCATTTCGACAAAAGGAGAAGGCGCTTCGATAGGAAGCAGGAGCAGGAGAAGGACTACCGTATTAAGTTCAGGGGGGTGGGCGAAAAATCGGTACTGTACGGTATATCTTATTTATTTTTTTCCAAATAATGTGTCACGATTCACGAGTGTGCTGGTACAAAGACTTTTATATTGCAGTAGAGCTATTTTCGCCAAGTTACATCTCAGCTAATATTCCCCTTACTGCCTTCCGGTTTGGTGAGAATTGGTGGGGGGGGAAGGGTTGTCGCCTCCGTATGTAACTGCGGGGTTTCCCTATATTTTGGAGTTGACCAGTCTCAGGTATTAAAGAATAAGCTGTTTTGGGGAATGCTATACGAGTGGCATCTGTATCGTACAATACACGCATATTTTGTGGGGCATGCTGGACTGGGCCTTATTGTTATTATTATTTGCTCCCCAAGTCACGGATTCTGAAACCAACATTTGGCAGAGACATTCGGACACAAGAGATGGCAATAATGATCTAGAGACCCCCGCACATCCACAGCACAATGTTCTTTTGTGCATAAATCGCTACCAGGAGAGAGAAAAAATGAAGGAAGAAAAAAACTTTTTGTATTTAACTAAAGCTTTAAGTTGAGAACAAGAAAGAAAAACTAATCGTCGTCTCCGCCAACAGCCTTGCTATCCTCATGCTCCTCAAAAGTGCTCGGTGGGACCTCGTACAACCTAAGCACGGGCCTATTGGGGTCTTTGACAAGCACGTACTTGCCCTCGGGCATGTGCATGCACATGTCAACAATGGTGCGAACAATACCCCATCCATTCGAGAGGTTGAGATTCATCTGGTTAGCGAACTCGCGGGGCTTGTATCCCACGACGCCGAGGATTACGTGACGATTGTTATCCTTGGGGTTTGCACGGGAGACGAATCTGCGGGAGAGCTGGTTAGGAATATGTCACTGATAGTAGGGGGGAAGGGAGATATTACCCTAGCTTCATCACGTCTGCTTTTGCAAGGATGGCCTGCGCAGTCCAGCGGGCGAGCTTGCAGGAATTGTTCTTCATTTCTGTCGCCACAACTGCGCCGCGCTGGGAAGAGAGCTTTGTACGCCAATCGAGTGCTCCTCCACTACCCTGTGCACGCCCGTCGAACTCGTTCAATGCCCTGACAGTGAGGAACATATCTTCTCCGCTAGGAGTCTTCATGACGGCATCCAACTCTGTCCTCACAATAAGGTGTACAGGCTCCTCCTCGTTCAGAGACAAATCGAAACGCCGGTATTTGTAGGCCTTGGAACCAAGTGGCTCAGTGTCCTCCTCATTGTAGAAAGGGTTGGGGTTCTCAAAGCCGTGCTTTGACTCCTCGTTCACTGTTTGGAGAGCAAAATTTTGGTTGATGAAGGTGGCCTCCATAGAGAGTGCGTGAGGCGCATTGATGGAATCCTTATTTCCTTCGCTAGCCTCCAGCGGTGGATCCGCAGCATTCTCATTGACCGAGACAAAGTCTAGCTGGCTACCGTCCCGCTTATCGAAGAAAAGCCTCTTGCCCTCACGAACGATCACAATGTCCCAGGGGTAAACGGACCGAGGAGCACACATCAACATCGAAAGCACAGAGTCAGTAGCGAATATTGTCGCCTCGTCCTTCTCCGCAAGTTGCTGGATCACAGGATCCTCGGTCGTGGTCGGGTTGAATACCACTCGGTCTTGGGCAACGAGTTTGCGCTCGGCAGGCTTAGTACCGGCGGCTTTGTCGTAGCTACGGTCGTAGTAGGATAGGAACCCATAGTTGTCCACATCCTCACCATCGCCAGTCTCAAGATTGAGCTTAGCCAGGCGGTTGAAATCGATTTCCTCGAGCATTTTCCATTCAGGCTTGACAGCAACCGAAGCATCACGATTGCGCTGCGGCTTGTCATAGTCTTTCCAGCCGAAACGGCGGCCCCGACCCCCCCTTCCACCGCGATTGTCGAAACGACCTTGGTCCCTACCACTGCGGTCGCCAGCTCTCTGGAATCCACCCCCAGATCCACCTGCTGAACCTCCGCGTCCCCCACGTGCAGAACCACCACCGCGACCGCGGCCACGGAAGGTTGTCATGCGGCCACCGAAACCTGTGCGAGTCTTTGTGCTGGTACGTTGGTTATCAACCACGGAGAAGGAAGCCTCGTCTTCAGCATGTTGATAAGAGAACAGACTTGATGTCCCGGCACCGTATACTTGATCTGTGCCATACTGTTAGTGTACCGCATACCTCAAGCATTGGAGGAAATATTTACCTCTGTAATTCCTGTTATAGCCTTGTCTTCCACCCCTCTGATCCCGTCCATCCTTTCCACTATCTGTTGTCCAATCTGCCATGCGACCGAGCTTGTCCCCCTTTGAGTAAGGGGCATAGGGAACTTCATCCAGCGCTGATTCAACGGAGACCGGAGGTCCCCAACCGTTTTCGTGCTCGGGGAGAGCTGCTATTAATGCGTTCAGTTCGAGCGGAGCCATATTTGCTGCCCGGATGGATCCAGAAAGAAAATTATGAACTGGCTATAAATCGACGATTACTGGTTGATGACAGGTTATTGAAGTTGGTTGTGAAGGGATGTTTGTGTGGGGCAACTTTTCCTTAATTCTTCCGTGCGCTTTCGTTGGCGGGGCATGAGGCAAAAGCAAAGTCACAACCCTTTTTTTCCTTTTCTTCAAAAATGGATATATCCCTTGAATTAATCGGCTAATGGTATATCTGTGGAATGAACCGAAGATATCTACGAGATTGAGCCGTTCCAACCACCTTGAATACATTTACAGAGTTCACTCACTATCGATATCGAAACCTCCTTCAGCCTCCGGCCCCCCATCCCGTCGACATCACAAAATGGTCGTCAAAATCCGTCTGGCACGCTTTGGTCGTCGACATGCACCGATTTACAACATCGTCGTCGCACATGCTCGGTATTTTCTGCTCCCTCAGCTATCCCCCGATGCACTTCATTCAGCTGATATTTATAGGACTGCGCAAACGAATAGGCCGATAGAAGTAATCGGCACTTATAACCCCATTCCAGCCCCACCGGTCGACGGCATAGGAAAGGGCACAAAACACATTGAATTGGATACTGCGCGAGCTAAATACTGGCTAGGTGTTGGAGCGCAACCGTCGGATCCTGTATGGCGATTATTATCCATGGTAAGTCGCGTCGGGAGATCAAGCCCCCAGTTTGAAGATCGAGGATGGGGCCTGATGAAGTGGCAGTTTGGATTACTGGAGCCCAAGTGGTCAGTCGCCAGGTTACAGAGCAAAGCGGGCAAGAGCGCAGTTAAACCGAAGGAGCCAAAGAATGTGGAGGATGTGACAAGGTCCATCCAGGGAAATATCGAGATTGGAGAGCCCGGGGCAACTGCGAAGGGAACTTGAGGTCTTTGTGATATACTTGGGACGAATTGTACAATGTTTCCGGGCTGTCATGGGCTGCTTGCCATACAGGAGTGAACGCATCGGATATTTCAGCGCGTCTATCGGGGGCGGTTTACTGTGTCTGAGATTATTCTTCTTAGAGAAACTCCGTATCTCACTAGAAGGGGACCTAAAGGGTGCCTGTAGATGGATAAGCAATTGGCGGAGCGTGCTCGTCGGACTCGGGGACTCCACTACCCCGTAGCACGCATCCCAGCAAGCGACTAGCACCAGCTTTGCTGTATTGTAGTCGATACTCTTGGTAAGCCTGTATCTACATCTTGAAAATAATTCGCTCTCTTGGCGGAACCTGTAAGATACCTACGATACATTCTACTGTTGTTCCGTTGGGGGATTTCTCGAGTGATTCTTGGTGATATAGTGCGGCTCAAAACGCCAAGCTTTCACCACTCGGGACCACCATGGTGGTCATTCAAGGAGCTTATTTCTCTTTTAACTAGAAAAACTCTCTCTCTTCTCCCCCGGTTTCGCCGAAACCATCAACCCAATCAAGAATACACATTGTCACTACCCTCACATCTCTTGCCTTCGAATTCTTCCCGAGAGCTTAGCGGTGGATAATAATGGCGAGCTCGACCCCCATCGGCGAATCCTCGCAGGCAGGCTCTTCCTCTTCCGCTCCTGACTCCTCTAGAGCTTCAAGAGATGGTCCTCCACCGGCAATCATCTGCGTTGGCATGGCCGGTATTATCTCCTCCACCCCCGATCGCAGTGCGTGAAACGCGAGACTAACAAACCTTCTCAGGCTCCGGAAAAACTACCTTCATGCAGCGCTTGAACGCCCACCTCCACGCCCAGAAACAGCCACCATACATAATCAACCTGGACCCCGCCGTAAAGACCGTCCCCTTCGCCCGGAACATCGACATCCGCGACAGCGTAAACTACAAAGAAGTGATGAAGCAGTACAACCTCGGCCCCAACGGCGGAATCATGACTTGTCTGAACCTCTTCGCGACCAAGGTGGACCAAGTAATTGGCATTCTCGAGAAGCGCGCATCCTCCATAAATTCCATCCTCGTGGACACGCCGGGACAGATTGAGTGCTTTGTCTGGAGCGCTAGCGGAGCGATTATTACCGATGCGATCGCTTCGGGCTTCCCCACTGTTATTGCCTACATAATCGATACACCCCGGACAAAAGCTCCCGCAACCTTCATGAGCAATATGCTCTACGCTTGTAGCATTCTCTACAAGACAAAATTGCCGATGATCCTGGTATTCAACAAGACGGATGCGCAGGATGCGGGGTTTGCCGAGGAGTGGATGACGGATTTCCAGGCTTTTCAAAAAGCGCTCCAGGAAGAGGAGGGGAATGACGACGGCATTGGAGGGAGCGGGTATATGGCTAGCTTGTTAAACTCTATGAGTCTTATGCTTGACGAGTTTTATAAGCATTTGGATTTGGTGGCGGTTAGCGCTATGACGGGAGCTGGGATAGGTGACTTTATGAAGGCCGTTGAGGGAAAGTGTTTGGAGTACGAGAAGGATTACAAGCCGGAGATGGAGAAGTCTAGGAAACGCAGGGAGGAACAGAAGCTTGAGGAGAAGGAGAAGGAGCTGGGAAGGTTGATGAGGGGTGTTGATGTTAGTGGCAGTGGAAAGAAGGAAGAGCCAGCGGTCATGAGCGATATCGAGTCAAGTGATGAGGAAGCGGGACAGGGCATACTAGAAAGGGATGAAGACGAGGAAATGCTGGATGAGGAGGGGTTACAAGAAAAGTACAAGCGGATAGGGAAACAAATCGAACCGGGGACTGACCCGCTCCTCGATGCGAGTTTGAAGCGCTACCTCCGTGCTAGCAGTTAGATGTTCATAATCATAATTGTTCCATGTAGCCTAATAAAAGTCCCTGTATCATAGCTCATGATATTCCCGAATCCTGATATTTACTTTGAGAACTAGAGGAAAAGACCGCCGTATCAACCGTGTGTATTCCCGAACGCCGAAATAGAACTGAAGGAGAGGCGCAAACAAAAAAAAAAAAAACTCCAGTTCCTATGCCAACATCGGTTCCGTTCCTTCTCTCGCCGCCTCTCTCCTAGCTTTTGCCCGCTCCTTCGCTCGTTTGGCTTTCTTTTCTGCTTCCGTTTCACCACTTCCCTCCTCCTCCTCCTCCTGCACCTCTGGTGATACTGGAACCGTGCTTGGGGCATCGGGCATAGTAGGTGCCGCTGTCGCGCCGAGAATCTATGTAGCAAAGGGGGGAGGGGAGAAATCAGGATCAGCCAACCTTGGGGAAGAATAACAATAGCAAAGACAATACTAACCTCCCTCTCCAACGCCTCAAGTTCGTCCTCTACCGCATCCTCCTCCTCGTTTGTCATAGCCCCAGCCAGCAAATTACTGACCTCCCTCTGGTACGCCCTAGCCTCGTCCGTCTCCTCAATCAATCTCTCCACCGCCTCCAGCGACATCTCCTTATGTATCTCCTTAAGCACCTGATTCCCCTGCTGCAGCCCATACAACACCGCTTTCTCCACTAACGAAAACTCAATGGTCGACGTCTAAGGAACCTCTTCATATTAGCTCCCCTCGAGTTATCAACCCCAAAGGGGCGGGTTACGTTACCAGCTTTTCTAAAGCTTCGAGTTGAGCGTCCGTTTTTACGAGTAGTTGTTCCTGGTATTTCCGCCGCCGGAGCGCGAGAAGGGCGCGGGATTTGTCGTCCCGTGCGAGGCATTCCTTCGCGATCTCGTGCTCACGGGTCAGGACTGTTTGGATCTTCTTTTGGTAGATATGGAGTTTGTCGCGTTGGAGTTTCATGTTTAGGATTGCTCTGCTCTCGTGTTAGTATCTTTTGTGAATCGCGGAGCTAGCATGGGGAGGGGGGAGAGGAAGACAGACCGGTCCTGAGCTGTTATGCGGGAGGAGGAGTTTCCCATGGTGGAGTCTGTATATGCAGGCGGGAGGGTGTTTTGGAGTTGGGTATTTTTCTCAGTGGAAGGTGGACATGAAGGAAGAAGGAAGCGCTGCGGTAGTCGATGGGGTTCCTGATCTCTCCGTGATGAATGCCGGAGATTGCCGAGGATGGGGGACTGGCTCGAATCACGTGGTTCGACGTCACGCAGGTGCTACGGCTTATCATTGAAAGCTATTAAATTTACCGTACAAGAGTGCTTATTCGTGGGGGTGATATCATACTGCTGACTTGCCCTTGCTTCAGCGCGCTTGCTCGCGCCTGCTCGCGCTCGGGTGTGGTAGGGTGCTGTGCGGGTGCGGTACCCCGTAAGGTCTACAGTAGATCAGAAAAAGCTCCTCCGCCCCCCCCACCCCTTCCCCGCAAGAACTGATCACCATGTTAACTTAATCTGGATGGTAGTCTATTGAGACCTACCGGTGTTCACCCCATCACCGGGGACCAAGGTTGGTACGGTGGGATGCTAGTGAGCCAGCCGCCTCGGGGCTCGTGGCTATCCTTGTCATCTGCGCGGGTAGAAGGCTCTTGTGCGTTCACACCAGGCATTCATACTACGGTAGAAATAACTTTACTGATATTGTATTAGCCACTCGGTGGAGGTTGAAGATCTGATCAACACATATTACACATATTAGAGGGTGTGGCGGATTGTCCATAGGATTGGAGGGGCGATGACTCGGAATTTGTTTGGAGTGGTGTTTAGGTAAGAGTGGGGGGATGGGCTGATAGGAAGGGGTTGTGGATTTACGAGTGAGGCGGTGTGAGGGAGTTCTTAGCGGTTGGGCTCTTTGGGGGCTGTAAGTATGGTGTTTCGGTATCTGTGGGTGTAAGTGGTGTTGTGTCATATAATGGAAAGGCCGATTAAGGAGTGGAGTGCTGTGGTCGGTAGAATATTTTGGGGAGAGTGTTATTACTAGAAAGACAGAGTTTTGTTTGTTTATGGCGATTTTGTGAAGATGAGATGAACTTTTATCTATCCAGATATCGCACTCTAGCTATCTAGCAGTAACAGATACTTTTTACAATCCCCCCACTCTCCCCTGAATTCTCTTCCTACAGCTATTATACAACCGCTACCGAAATCTCGATCCCATCCATCCCATCGACATCCTCCTCCATCATCTCCTCCATCTCCCTGAGTGTATAATCCACTAGGTAACTCTCGTCAACTAACTCCTCCACCTTCTTGTAGTGCCTCATCGTATAGCTCAGGATAGCCTCCCACCCCGTTAAATCCACCTTCAACCCCAACAACCGCTGCACACCATAGCTCCTAAACACAAGATGCATAATCCTCTGCGCGACTGTAGCGGTCTTGGCATTCGTATTCCAGTCTCTGATTCTGAGTATTAAGATAGATAATTGCTCGTTACTCAGGTTTCCAATGACCTCATCTACCGCTAGTAGGCCGCTTATCGAGCCTTCCTCTGGAGGTGAGGTTTTGACTACTGCGGTGAAGAGGTTCAGCAGACGGCCGGGGTGGTTTAGTGTGAGCGCGAGGGTGATTGCGGCGCGGTAGTCGGCGTTGTGGATATGGTTTTGGAGTGTTTGCTCTTGTTCGATTTGCGCTTCCTCTTCTTTCGCAGTGGTTTCGGCGATTTCGGTAGTTACGTCAGCCCAGAATGTTACAACTGAGTCGCCACCACCGGAGACGAGGACTTTGTCGTCGGGGCGCACAGCGAGGGCCCAGACCTGAATTAATGTTGCTAGTTAGTTATGTTCGTAATGGGAGGAGGGGGAGGGGGGAGGGGGGTACTTTGTCTTCGTGATTGTCTAGGGTAGTATTACATTCACCACTCTTGACGTCCCAGACTTTCACAAGGCCGTCGCCGCCGGAACTGGCGACTTGTAGGCCGCTTGTTAGCCACACTGTTTTTAAAACGCTGTTGGTGTGCCCTTCGAAAGTCTTCAGGCAGCTGTAATCTGTCAGACTCCAGAGTTTTACTGTTCTATCCCCGCTTCCAGTGACAACCATTCTACCGCCCTTGGTTCCCTCTATGCCGCCGACCACCGCTGCCGTGATCGAGTACGGAGCAAACTTCACGGACCACACGCCTCGACGATGACCACGTAGAACACCAATTACCTCCCCTTCCTCCAGCGACCAAATCTTCACCGTGCGATCTTGAGATGCAGAGGCGAACATACTGTCGTCAGGTGATATGTCGATCGCATTTATGTCCTTATCATGCGCCTTTTTAGTGTAGGTCGCCTTGCTTTTCCTAACTTGCCACATCTTAATCGTGCGGTCCTGGCTCCCTGTTACCATAAACTTGGGCGCGGAGAATTTCCTACCGGCCTCACTCTCTGCTGGTGGGGCTTTTCTCGGGAGTGCGATAGCGCCAATACTCTCGGCATGCCCGGTATATCGTGAGTGGCATGTGAAGGAATTGTTTTTCTCATCTATATGCCAGAGTCGCGCTTCGTTGTCTTTTCCACCGGTAGCGAGCCAGCATCCAGACCAATCACGATCAAGGCAGATTACGATATCGCCGTGGCCATAGAGGATACCAGCGTCGCTGAATGAGTTGTCGACAGAGAGGATGCGGACGTCTTCGGAGTTTGTTGCTAGGGCTATAAGAGAGGAGGTTGGGGTTAGGTATTGGAGATCGATGATTTCGTCATGGTGGCCGGAGATGCGGCGGATTACTGGGAGATTTGTTGGGTTTGGAGTTGGGAGTTCTAGGCTGTGGGTGAGAAGGGTCTGATCGTTGTGGATCGATATTAAGGAATTGAGGGAGGGATTGTATCTAGGATTATTAGTGAAATGTAAAAAGCTCGAGGGGAGGGTATTACAAACAAAATATCTACAATTCCTTCTGCGCCCCCCTCTTCATCCTCATCCTCGGCTCGAGTAATTTCTTTTCCGCCAGATAAATCCCATAACCGAATCCTGTTCTTCTTGCCTCCCATGTATAGCACCTGTCCTTCAACTCCCTCCAGATTAACAGTCCCAGTCGGTAGAATGCCCACAGTCTCCAACTCCTCCAAGACCGGAATAGTTCCCTTCAGTTTCAGGCCCTTCGCATCCCAAACGCATACAACCTGATCTCTGCTTCCGCTGACCAACGTCCTGCCATCCCGGGACCAATCTAACCCCCGAACAACACTGACATGGCTCTCCAATGCCGCAATGCACTTACTAGTTTCCAAATCCCAGACTCTGACAATTGCATCATCCGCGCCCGTAGCCAGCCGCCACCCGATAACTTCTGAGTCCGCTGTCACCTTGCTGCTCTTCCGACCGCCTCGCTCATTACGCACGACATTCTCTGGCCTGTAGAACTTCATCGCGGAAATAACACCACCATGGCCCCGCAGGTTGTGAGTTACGAAACCGCCTTTGATGTCCCAGACTTTGACCAAGCCGTCGGCGCCTCCGGTAGCGAGGAGTGTTCCCGTCGGGTCAGTTTCTGCGACAATTACAGGTGCCGTGTGCGCCTTGACGGTGCGCAATAGGGCGGGCTTTACGTGGGCAGTGTTTTCTTTATGAGTTGGGCTCAAGCTGTATATGCGCATAGAGTAGCTGCGCGAGCAAATAATCAAGTGTGAAGCATCCGGTGTCACTGCGATTCTCTATTAGCATCTTGCCTTTATCTCTCCGGTGTCTGGATAAAACTCACAAGCTAGCGTAGTGACCGGTTCCATATCCTATTATTTCATTTAGTACCGTCAGCTGTCAATTGCGTATAGAATATTGGAGGCAAACATACACCCTCAAGTCTAGCCAGTTCCTCCCCTGTCTCGAAATTGGTAACAAGCACATCCTCGTCAAGCGTAGTTGCCAATATTCTTCCACTTTGGTCAAGAGCGACTTTTCCGCCGGTGTAAAAGGGCTGAATGATCTTTTCGGGGCGGAAATGTGTTTTCAATGACATTTTGGTGGAGTCGGATTAAGGTTTCGGAAGAAAATTTGGTGGGGGAAAAAAAAAATTGGTGGATGGGAGGGTAACCTGGATGCTGATACTCGTAGCGGGAGTTAGATAATCCAGGTTATCGCTAACAATGAGGATTGAGCAGTATGAACAAAGAGTACGACTCGTTGTTAATTCACTAGTCATGAGTGAATAATCATTGGGTAACTGGGGTCGAAAATATTGGGCGACAGAAATAGCGCCAGAGGGGGAAGACAAGACATGGTCAGAAGTATTGAAAGATAGATAGAGCTAAAGAAAGTAGACCATGTGAGCCCTCAGCCCTCAGTGAGACGGCACCCCCAGCCAGGCATGGCGTTGTCTAACACCTAAAACACTGCTATTTGCCACAATAAAGCGACTTTGAACCCCTAAGTTAGCGCCTCTTTGATAAATATCATAATATTCGTAGCTACAACTAGCCTCGTTGAGGGTGCCGCCTAGCTGAGGGCTCACACGGTCTATATTAAGTCCGACGCTATAACTGATTGTAGAAGCGATAGGGGAAGGGAATGAAAGGGAAAAGGGTTTTGACATCAGTGGTAGTTATCAGAATGTCGAACTGCTAGAATCTTAGAGAAGTGTTGAATGAAACTAACGAGCCACAGCAATCTGTTCGCAATTAATTTGTTAATAATCGCCTGCTGGTTGAAGTAGTTTCTAGATTCTAAAATTGGGTATTAAAGATTCCTAGCTCTCGGTATATCCGTCTAATACTTTTTCATTGCTAGTAACGAGAAACGAGAGCAAAAAAGCGAAATGGTACGGGAACTTGAAACAACAAAAAACAATGGGCAAAAGGAATAATTTGAGTTATAAGAGAGGCAGTATTAGATACAGTAGTGGGAGTTTCTTATTAGCTTCTCAAATCTGAGCCCTCTTTCCTCCAATTAGATACCCACAACTCAAAGATTCATGACAGTTACCTTTGTTTCTATTGTCTCTCCAACCTCTACCACGGACACTTTGAGGCCTCTTCCGAGGAGGAACAGTAGTCCAACCCTCACCATCAGCATTCTTGTAGCAACCTGCCGCTCCCTCCTCACCCTCCACCTCGGCCACCTCATCTTCATCGCCATCGCCATCTTTATCCTCCTCTTCATCACCCTCCTCCTTCCAATGACTCACAGACGGGACTACCCCTCTACCGTCTACCCACCTCCTGTGCTCGGCCTTCAAGGTCGCAAGACCCTCTTCTGTAAGACTACCGATGTAATCACTAAGATGCTTCGAGCTGATTTTGTTTTGGGTTTCTAGGAAGAAGAGACTGGACCCAACGAATACATGGCGCTCATCGTCCGCCAAATTGACCACTGGTCTTTCAAACTCACTCCTCGTAGGTGAGATGGGTAGAAAACTCCTAGCTATGTCTTCTGTCACCCCGCGCCACGTCTCCCCCCCCCTAGTAGTAGAGAACCTGCTAACTTAGCCCCTCCTCCCAAACATTATGAGTAGGGTCCAACTTACATTGCGAGGGCACGTTCTCCTGAAACCTCAACTATTACCAAAGGTCGACTCTTCCTGCACTTATTCCTAGTGCCAGAGTTGCTTGCCCCGAGTCTTTTCTGCTGGGATATAGTGAGCTTGACATGGAAGTGAGACGAGAAGTACATCTGCCCTGGGCGGAGGGTTGCTGGGCGCGGGAGCTTTTCACGCCATCGGGGCTTGCGAGAGGGCTTGTAATGCTCTTCCCCGTTTTCGCTCCCACTGGGGTACTCTTCCGAACCGGTATCGTTCATGTCAACCAACTCTTCTGTTTCCGCCCCAACTGCCCATGCCTCTGCACCTACTAACTCCGACATCTTGGTGCTGTTGTGGATTCTTCTTGCTAAATCTATCTTACAAAAATTAGCTCAGCGAAAAAAGACGTTAATCTGAGGGGTGTAGTTAGGATTGGGGACCTACTTCCTCTTGACGGGTTGGGGTGGTGGTAAACCCAGTTGTTTTAGCAGGGGATTAGGGTGTTGGATAATTTTTTTTTAAGGAAATCCTTTCTCCTGTAGAGAGCTGTAGATGGTGGTCTGCGTCGGCGGAGTGATGTTGACTGAGGCAAGAGATTTGGGAGGGAGAAATGGAAAAATAGATAGATAAATAAATCTCGCGTCAAGCCCGGAAGGAGGGGGTACACAAGCTTCGGGCGAAATTCTTGCAGACCGATGAGGACCTTCTTGTACGGTGGTGGAGGGAGTTGAAAACGCTTTGGTATGGATAGGATGTTTCGTGTTCGTGGATAAACTTTCGGACCGCCGAGTGAGAGGTTATGCATGAAAGAGCGGATGGGATGTCTCGGGCTACACGGGAGGGAACGCCAACTATATCGCGAATCGATAAGTAGCCAGTTTCGAAATCCAACGGCGTGTCTCAGTTATTTATCAAGATGGGATCTGAGCAGAGTTTGTTCCCAACCGTGGTTTTGTGTCTTTGGCTTTCAACCGCTGGAATAGCCAAGGTCCATTCACATAGGCAATGTTTAACCATGGGGGTCCTTCGCGTTCCTCACTTACAACCGTAAATATCAGGTGTGTTACCGCTCGGTCTTCACGGACTGAGCGCCCGTGTCCCTAGGCTCAGTTCCCATCCCACTGGCATACCGGTATCCAATAGTGGGCTACTAATGAATCCCTGCTGTGTCTGACTCCTCAGCCTTGACCGCACCGCTCTCGCCCAAACTTGTCCCACCATCACATGTCGTTTCCTTGGTCAACTGGGGGAAGTATCTGGCACATCCCTGTACTTCATCTACCGTGCTTCTGCTCACTTCCGTGATCTCTTATTTTTATTTCTTTTACAATATTACACCTTGGACTTCGCCTCTCGTCAACTTAAGGACTACCCTGTAGGGCTGTCATAAGAAAAGACTCTAGATGAATGGAGCCCTATGACCCTGGCGAGAACCTCCTGCGGCTTCTTCTGGGGTGTCGGGGCTCGTAGCTGTGGCGAGAGATATCGCATCAGGATAGAGGTTGGGGGAGGCCTCTCTAGTCCTCTCATGAGTTTTACTCTGGTAGGAATTGGTCAGATATCAACTAACAAAATTGGCGAAGATCCGTCATTTTGGTTAGTTATGGACGGCTTGGGTTCCTTTAGCCAGGTATCATACATCTCCTATCTCGTAAGGTGAAAGAAGGGTAGATTTCCCACCGTGAGCAAGGGTTTCTGCCTGGATAATCTAAAGGGCTCATTTTCTTTACAGGTGTAATGAATTCCCACAAACTTTTATTCGACTTTACACTAAGTCTGAGAAAATTACCATCGACACAGAAAAAAACTCAACGGGGTATGCAGGGGTGTCCGCTTAGCTAAAGTGAATACCCTGCTGATTAAAAGCATACAATAGTCTGAGAAAATCTGCCTCATCGCACTTTCCTGCCCGTTTCTCTCTGAGCTCTGTCTCCGATAGCACGGTTTCAACCAGCCCTTTCACTTTTTCTCCAACCTTGGAGCGACTGCGCTTGCCTGCTTTGGTCTTTATTCCTTTGACATCACCCATCTCATCCCCGCTGACTTCCATCTCATCCTTATCTCCTATGTCAACCAGATGAGCCTCGCCGTCATCACCTTCCAGCTTGACATTATTGGCTGCACACCAAGTCCTGTAGTTCTTCTCCACAAGTGCCATGACGGCACTGGACTTGAACCCCGCAGCAATCGTCTTATTTTTCCTAACAAACACAATCCTCAACAGTCCATCCCATTCGTCGTAAGAAATTGGCGGTCTGGGGGTTTTGGGTTCAATCCTGATGACCGATGACTCCACCTGCGGCGGGGGCTTGAAATTGTTCTTCCCAACCTTCATGATGTGCGTACATTTCGCCCACATCTGGGCATTGACGCTCAGCCGGCAATAGAGCGCATCGCCGGGACGTGCTACTACGCGCATCGCGAACTCCCGTTGGAACATAAGGACGCAAGTCCTTGGGGCAGGTGATAGAGCGAGCAGCTTGAACACCAGCGGCGAGGAAATCTGGTAGGGTGTGTTGGATATGCAAACGTCGAAATAGGGGAGTTCGGTTTTTATGACATCGCCCAGGAGGATTTCTAGGCGTTTTTGCTCCGGTTTGCCTTGCACGCGCTTGGTGAGCTCCGCAGCCATACGGGGGTCCATCTCTACCGCGATAACCTTCCGCGCGTGCTCCAAAATCTTGACGGTGAGGTTTCCCGTCCCCGGGCCAACTTCTAGGACAACCTACAAAGGTTAGTAAACTGTTGCAGCCAGTGAGATTTTTTTTTCTCCAATCAGGTAAATTACATCAGATTGCTTGAGGCCAGCCTTGTCCACGATTGCCTGGGCCACACCTGGGTTTTTCAGGATATGCTGTCCAAGCTCTGTATTCATGCGGAAGACATTGTTGACAGTTTTCGAAGCTGCTTCTTTTGCTGCAGAGTTTGGACGAGAGTATGGGGGATTGCCCACTGGGCGAGGCTGTTTTTTGGCTTTCGGCATGGTGGACCGGTTGTCGAGGTGAGCCCGAAAGGTCTGTTGCGGGTAAACTCAAAAAAAATTCATTGGTGGGGCTGCTGCCAAGCATTGGTAATCGACCATGTGCAAGGGCGGTTAGCGAGCTTGAGCCCTGCAGAAATTTATGAGTGAGACATCATGATTGCACCGCTGCCGTCAAACGGCAGCGAGAAACCTTCTAAAGATTCTATGATGGAGGATAAGATCTGCGGTGAAAAACATGTTCCTTTTTTTTTTCCACCGTTTTCATCCGGTCACTGGCCCTGACTTCCTCAAATAGAAAAGTTACGCCGGGTATCGAGTTTAACTATCAATTCTTTGGACCAGTAGTACTGCTCGGTGTCTAGCAAATCAGGAGCGGCTACCCCCCACCACCAACAACCCTTCGTGTTCCTTCCATCAAGCAAGCCTCTCTCTCATCCAATTTACAAAACTACATGTCACCTAAACCACGTCGCGAGTATGGGTCGAGACCTCGGGTTCGTGCTACACACTTGTATATGACAGCGCCGTGCACGATCTACACTAACTCACACACTCCTTAGCTTTCCGTACTAGGTGCTGGCCTCTAGTGAACCTCGAAGTCGGTAATTTGCTCGATCCCCTCAGGATTGCGCACATCCAAAGATTGGGTCCATGCGATAGAAATCAGCAGATATCTGCGCGAAAATTGCAGAACTATCCGCTCTAGATGCCCGGATTAAGGGAACATCAACTACCGAGACAGGGAGCCCCCCAGTCCACATTACCTATACTATGTGCTAGGTATCTCAGCCTATGATAGCGTCTACTCAGAACCTTGCTTGTCTAAGGGGGGGGGCGCCACAGGGCGGTCTGTGAGGGCTTCAGTTGAGGCACCCAGCCCCCAGCGCTCTATTGTTACTGTCTATCTCAGAGGATATTTCGCGGTTGGTTAAGCCCACCGGTCCGTCACGAGCCATCACCCCAAGAAGGACGCGGTGGTCACCCGAGATACCAGGATCTCTGAGATACTTGACCTACCCCACCGCGTTTCATACTAGACAGCCGGTGCAATAGTTTTCCCGGTAGTTGGGTTAGCGAATCTCCGTGGGGTGGATCAGGCTTTCAGTCAAATTCTACACCTCCGGGATATCATCTCTGAACTCACTGATATCCCTCTACAACAAGCCGAATTCATGCAAATCCATTGCTCGGGTCATGCGGCTGTGCGAACCCTCCCATTGTCCTTGGGGTATATCTTCCTTTCTAGCTTTGCAAAAGATCATTCCCGGGCTTAAGTTTTCACTTCCCACCTAGCCAAAAACCTCTCACGGGACCTCCGATAACTATTCCAAATTCCCGGACTCACGGCGATTGGAGATTCACATAATGCAGCAGTTATTCTCTATCTTCGAAGGGCCCAGAACTATTATCCCTCAATCTCTGCGGCTGTTCTCCTCTAGTACCGGTAGTAGGGCCGCCCCCATGCATCCACCTTCAAGGTTTTCTCTAGGCTGCCCAGGCGTGTACCTTTCGGCATACTCGGCTCTGCGTCGACGAACATTTATTATACTAGCCATAGCCCATATAACCACAAAGGCCAGGCATAGTCTATCTAACTATCTACTGACCACTAACACTACGAGTACCATTAGCCCTGTCTCTCCCTAGGGCACAAGAGATACAGTCAGAGCATCTGTTGAAATGCAGGAAGAAGAAAAAAAAAAAGACGAAAGGAGGAAAAGGGAAAAAGTGCAAGGGCACGAAAAATGCACATATTAAACCACGCCACCGGGTTTCATAGGACGTAATGCTTTCCTCAGGCAAACGGGTATCCCCGTCGCCAAGGCCTCGGGTCGTCCCGAGCCCTGAGACAAGGCTCGGGGAACTACAGATCCTGGCGAGTGTGGGGTTAGCTTGAACCCAGCTGATGTTTAGCATTTCCGGTACGATAGGGAAGGGGAAATTAAGGTCTTAGCATGTATTTTAGGCTGGATCAGTCTGACAGGCGATGGGTGTATGGAGTGAACCGTGAGAACTTGTGGTGCTGTGGGGGTGGCGGTTTGGCTTGGCGGATTATTGTCTTGGCAGCCTTGTTGAGATATAAATCTGGTCCGGGAATTTAGTTCGGGGGCAGATGTGCTTGCTGGGGAAGCCTACCACAAGTACTCGAGTACTGCACCCCCATCGCTCCTCGAATCTCGGAAGAAATATCCGGGGAGTATGACATTTTTTTAATTTTTTCTGCCGCCATGCCCAGGGGATTAGGTTAGGGCTCAAAATGTACGGATGGGGTCCAATAAGCGGGTATCATACCTCACCCCCAAAATAGCAGATTTCACACCGGGATACTCTAGTGGAGAAAATTAACAAAAATAAAAAAACTACCCATAGAACCACTGAAGGCAGCAGCGACATTACCTTCTGTGTCCAAATTTCCACCCAATTCCTAACTCCGCAAGAGTAGTATATGCAGTTGAACCCCCAAATTCCACCACAATACAGATTTCTCACCAAAACAGGCAGTCTTGACGCACAGGTTTGAGAAAAGATTTATCCCCTATAGGTGCTACTCTTCTGAACACTCCATAAAGCTATCTTATTTCTAATACAAGTATTGGGTCTGGAACTAGCACGTGGAGTCGGCTGTTTTTGGTGTGAAACATGTAATGTCCACCTGCCGCTCACTTTTTGGGTCCCACCTGTAGTCACGGGTGGGAATGAAAAGAAAAGCATGGTGCGTCTATCTAGGAGTAATGGCTCAGGTGACCTAGGAAGGATCAGAGGGAGACCAAGCTATTTCATTGGGCTAAGGGACATGTTTAACTCCCGTAGCAGCGGTACACCCATGAGACACGGCGCCGAGAGAATCTCCAATCCCGTCAACTCTGAACAAATATAACTAACAGATTAGGTTTCCAGCCTCCAGTTCAATGCGCTGATCGAGAAGATGACACTCTCGGGGCCTTTGCTCTGCGCCGCTGGATATTCCTGAACCTTGGTATCAGCAAAGCCCCGCAAGGATGATATCCTTGGAGTTCAAGGTATCATACTCAGGAAGTGATGAAATATTGGGAAAGTAATAGTCTACCAGGGATTACCCACTTTAATGACGGGACTGCACCGAAATTCGTATATGGCACCGGATAGACGGTCCGTGAGGGTCAGCACGACTAACACCTTAGCTAGCCTACAGCCAAGCTCGGTCACCCAAAAACCTCACCAAAATAATAATCAGGAAGTGTAAGTTATCGCGGGCCCTTCAACAGCCTATCGTCAGACGAGGTTTTCGGAAAAAAAAAACATCCGCGGTTGAAATTTGGAGACTGGATGTACTGTCACACTCCCAGATTCTAGTGGACCGAATCTAGAAGCACAGTGACGCAGTCGAGGAGATAGCCGGGGTTTCTTCGCACAGAATACAACATTTGACATTTCCTCCTAGTCCTTGCACACCTCCTATCCCCCTTGGGCTTTCTTCACTCGCTGCTCCGTCTCAAAGTTAGGTTAGCCATCAATCAATTCTCATCTGGTGCCTGGCCACCCAATCGTCATGCTAGTTCAGGGTTAGTCTGCTGCTTCGCACATACCGTCCCGGTGGATCATACGAGGCAGAAAACCGTAGAGAGTGTTACAGTAGCGCCCGGATATAGTGAACCTGGCTGTGCAAAGTATTGGACGGGGGGTGGACGGGGAGTGGATGGAAGGGCTGCGATTGGTGTGTTAGCTGCCCTTCCGGCCTTGCTATTGGTTGATCCCTATGGTAAACAGCTTTCCTACGTTCAATATATAGCCGGCGCACGAGTGTGGAAAATTGTGGCACAACGGCATTCTCCCACCAAAAAAAAAAAAACGTCATTCGGAGTTATCACAAACTGCCAAGTAATATTTAAAATCCGGGACGTTGCATAGATAGCTTCAATTATCTCTGGGAATTGTGATACCCACAATAACTTTAGAAAGCCCCCTGTCAAACAAGCCTCAATCTATAACTACCAGAATTGATATTACCTTCACAGCACCGCTCTAGAAGCCGTTTTTTTGGTGTGGCAATTTGAGGATTTTCAAGTTGGCACCCCCACTTGAATTAAACTGGCATAGCAGAAATGATACCCAGGTTCCCAAAACAAAAGGAGGACAAGCAGAAGGACAAGCATTTGAAACCGTTCTCACCTCAGTGCCGAACTCCTGGTTGATGTCAATACGGAAAAGCTACATACTTTGGTGTGTAACGCCGCTCGCCCTGCTACTTCCCTTACTCGGATCCCGGGCGTGACTGCAGCCAGTTCTGCAGCTCTGGGTCGGTATCGTGCTCGAGCTTGTACATGAAGCATCGCAGTATCGGTACACCTAATTTAGGAATGCCGAGTCATCATAGCCGAGTGACACGAGTCAGGCTTTCACATCATGGTAACAATGTAAGCAGGTTTGGTGTGCCACGGTTTGATTCCCGAGCCACATGCTAGGCTTAGATATTGTATCATACGGGTACTGCACCCGACTTGCCCCCATTCTAGAACCACGCACCCCCCCGAATGGCCTTAATTTTGCCTTGATAGTAAGGTACCGTCCTCGCATGGTATTTACATTGCTTTTTTTACTACATGTTGCTAACTGGGAAAGCCTGAGAAAGTCGTGGGTGGGGCGGAAGAAATGCTCGTGATACTGACTAAACCTGCAGATCATGTGGCAGTGCGTTTTTATTTGTTTATTCTGCCACAGCTGACTATTCTATGTAGTATCATACTCCTAACTTGAATCTGTCCGAGAAATATGCCCGGACAATTGTGGGGTGGCTCTTAATCTAAAATGGTAATGACTAAACCTGCAGGCTACGTAACTGTGCATTTTACTTTCTTTCTTTTTTTTTTTGTCCATCCATCTCACTATTCCAGTGATGCTAACCTATTAAAGCTGGATGTTGGGTGGGAGGCAAACTACTAGTATATGATTGGGCTTCAGTCAATCACAAAGTGGCATTTCACCCCATTCATACCTCTTGATAAAATACCTATCATTTGATA